AAACTAACCTAACACTCACCCTAACCTAACCAAACCTAACACTAAGATAACCAAACACTAACCCAACACCACCCTAACCCAACCAAACCTAACACTAAGATAACCAAACACCAACCAAACACTAACCTAACCCAACCAAACCTACAACACCAAGATAACCAAAGACTAACCTAACACTACCCTAACCCAACCAAACCAAACCTAACACTAAGATAACCAAACACTAACCAAACACTAACCAACCTAACCAAACCTAACACTAAGATAACCAAACACTAACCTAACACTACCTAACCTAACCAAACCAAACCCAACCAAACACTAACCAAACACTAACCAAACACAACCTAACCTACCCCAACCCAACCAAACCTAACACTAAGATAACCAAACACCAACCTAACACTACCTAACCTAACCAAACCTAACACTAAGATAACCAAACACTAACCTAACAACTAACCCCAAACCTAACCAAACCTAACACTAAGATAACCAAACACTAACCTAACACTCAACCTAACCTAACCAAACCTAACACTAAGATAACCAAACACTAACCCAACATCCAAACCTAACCAAACCTAACACCAAATAATCAAACACTACCCTAACCCAACCAAACCTAACACTAAGATAACCAAACACTAACCTAACACTACTCCCAACCTAACCAAACCTAACACCAAGATAACCAAACACTAACCTAACACTACCCTAACCTAACCAAACCTAAACACTAAAGATAACCAAACACTCAACCTAACACTACCCTAACCTAACCAAACCTAACACTAAGATAACCAAACACTAACCTAACACTACCCCAACCCAAACCAAACCAAACCTCAACCAACATAACCAAACACTAACCTAACCTTACCCCAACCTAACCAAACCTAACACTAAGATAACCAAACACTAACCTAACACTACCCTAACCTAACCAAACCTAACACTAAGATAACCAACACTAACCTAACACTACCACCAACACTAACCCAACCAAACCTAACACTAAGATAACCAAACACTAACTTAACACTACCCTAACCCAACCAAACCTAACACTAAGATAACCAAACACTAACCTAACACTACCCTAACCCAACCAAACCTAACACTAAGATAACCAAACATTAACCTAACACTACCTTAACCTAACCAAACCTAACACTAAGATAACCAAACACTAACCTAACACTACCCAACCTAACCAAACCTAACACTAAGATAACCAAACACTAACCTAACACTACCTAACCTAACCAAACCCAACACTAAGATAAACCAAACACTAACCTAACACTACCCAACCTAACCAAACCTAACACTAAGATAAACCAAACACTAACCTAACACTACCCTAACCCAACCAAACCTAACACTAAGATAACCAAACACTAACCTAACACTAGCCTAACCTAACCAAACCCAACACTAAGATAACCAAACACTAACCCAACACTACCTAACCTAACCAAACCTAACACAAGAACAAACAAACCTAACACACCACCAACCAAACCTAACACTAAGATAACCAAACACTAACCAACACCCAACCAACCAAACCAACAAAAACCAAACACTAACCTAACCCTAACCTAACCAAACCTAACACTAAGATAACCAAACACTAACCTACCTAACCTAACCTAACCAAACCTAACCAAACACTAACCAAAACCACCTAACCCTACCTAACCTAACCAAACCTAACCAAACACTAACCAAACACTAAAAAACTAACCTAACCCTACCCCCTAAGTTTGCGTTAGGGTGTTTAATTATCAGGTGAAATAAGCTGGGGGTACTAATCTTCAGGTGACCCACAGTGCGTCTATTGTCCCAGCGAGGATCAGAAAGGGACCTGACACCTGATACTCTGTGACCCACTGATAAAGATCTGGGAGGAGGTGGGTAGGTGGGTGGGTGGAGTGGAGTGGGTGGAGTGGGTGAGTGGGTGGGAGTGGTGAGTGGTGGTGTGTGTGTGTGTGTGTGTGTAAAAGTAGAATGACATGAACGACTACTGAATACAGATAGATAAACAGACATACATACAAATTCAACGGTAGGATGAATGATATACATACAGGATAGATAGATAGATAGATGAATGAATAGGTAGATAGATAGATAGATAGATAGATAGATAGATGGATAGATAGATAGAGACATGGAGGTGAGGTAGGCAAGACAGTGGCTACACCTGTCTCTAGGGTTGGGTCACTGTACCTGCCTTCCTACCTGTCCACCCACACTAGTTTGGGTCAGGGAGGAGAGTTGGGGAGGAGGGAGGGTGAGTTGGGGAGGGGAGGGAGAGAGTTGGGGGAGGGAGGAGGGTGAGTTGGGGAGGGAGGAGGGTGAGTTGGGGGAGGGAGGGAGGGTGAGTTGGGGAGGGAGGATTGGGGAGGGAGGGAGGAGTGAGTTGGGGAGGAGGAGGGAGTGAGTTGGGGAGGGAGGAGGGTGAGTTGGGGAGGGAGGGAGGGAGTGAGTTGGGGAGGGAGATGAGGGAGGGAGGGAGGAGTGAGTTGGGGAGGGAGGGAGGGTGAGTTGAGGGAGGAGAGTTGGGGAGGGAGAGGAGGGAGGATTGGGGAAGGAGGAGGAGTGAGTTGGGAGGGAGAGAGGATTGGGGAGGGAGGGAGGGTGAGTTGAGAGGAGGGAGGAGGGTGAGTTGGGGAGGGAGGGAGGGGTGAGTTGGGGGAGGGAGGGAGAGTTGGGGAGGGAGGGAGGGTGAGTTGGGGAGGGAGGGGAGGTGAGTTGGGGAGGAGGGAGGGTAGAGTTGGGGGAGGAGGGAGGGTGAGTTGGGGAGGAGGAGGGTGAGTTGGGGAGGAGGGGAGGGAGGGAGTTGGGGGGAGGGGAGGAGGGAGAGTTGGGGGAGGGAGGGAGGGTGAGTTGGGGAGGGGGAGGGAGGGTGAGTTGGGAGGGAGGGAGGTGAGTTGGGGAGGGAGGGAGGGTGAGTTGGGAGGGAGGGAGGGGAGGTTGGGGAGGAGGGAGGGAGGGAGTTGGGGAGGGAGGGTGGAGTTGGGGAGGAGAGAGGGGTGAGTTGGGGAGGGAGAGTTGGGGAGGGAGGGAGGAGAGTTGGGGGAGGAGGGAGGGTGAGTTGGGGGAGGGAGGGAGGTGAGTTGGGGGAGGGAGGGAGGTGGAGGTTGGGGGGAGGGGGAGGGGGAGGGTGAGTTGGGGAGGAGGGAGGGAGAGTTGGGGGGGAGGGGAGGAGGGGAGTTGGGGGAGGAGGGAGGGTGGAGTTGGGAGGAGGAGTTGGGGAGGGAGGGAGGGTGAGTTGAGGAGGAGGAGAAGAGTTGGGGAGGAGAGAGAGGAGGAGGGAGTTGGGGGAGGGAGGAGGGAGAGTTGGGGAGGAGGGAGGTGAGTTGGGGAGGGAGGGAGGGTGAGTTGGGGAGGGAGAGGGAGTTGGGGAGGGAGAGGGGTGAGTTGGGGAGGAGGGAGAGAGAGTTGGGGAGGGAGGGAGGGTGAGTTGGGGAGGAGAGGAGGTTGGGGAGGGAGAGGAGAGTTGGGAGGAGAGGGTGGGATTGGGGAGGGAGGAGATGGGGTGGGAGGAAGGGAAGGAGGGTGAGTTGGGGAGGGAGGGAGGGTGAGTTGGGGAGGGAGGGAAGGAGGAGAGTTGGGGAGGGAGGGAGGGAGGTTGGGGAGGGAGGGGAGGGAGGGAGTTGGGGAGGAGAGAGGGAGAGTTGGGGAGGGAGGGAGGGTGAGTTGGGGAGGGAGGAGGGAGGTTGGGGGAGGGAGAGGGAGAGTTGGGGGAGGGAGAGGGTGAGTTGGGGAGGGAGGGAGGTGAGTTGGGGAGGGAGAGTTGGGGAGGGAGGGAGGGTGAGTTGGGGAGGGAGGAGGAGGGTGAGTTGGGAGGAGGGAGGAGGAGTTGGGGGAGGGTGAGTTGGGGAGGAGGGAGGGAGGTTGGGAGGAGGGAGGAGAGTTGGGGAGGGAGGGAGGTAAGAGCGGAAATAGTGAGTTTGGGAGGGCGGAAGAGGAGAGGGAGGGAAGGAGAAAGCTTGGGGAGGGAGAAAGCTGGAGGAGTGTGAGGAGGAGGAGGGAGGGAGGGAGGGAGGGAGCTAGTTCAAGGCCACACCAGGATGCACTAACAGCGTAGTTTGGACACATTCCATTGATTACCAACACCTGAGGCAGTACTGTGCTGTCTCCTCCCTCCAGCTGTTATTGTCGTCTGTGTCTTTCCTTCCTGCTGCACACTGTCACCCGTTGTATCCCATAGGCTGTTACTCATAGGCTGTCACTTATAGGCTGTTACTCATAGGCTGTCACTTATTGGCTGTTACTCATAGGCTGTTACTCATAGGCTGTCACTTATAGGCTGTTACTCATAGGCGTCACTTATTGGCTGTTACTCATAGGCTGTTACTCATAGGCTGTCACTTATAGGCTGTTACTCATAGGCTGTTACTCATAGGCTGTCACTTATAGGCTGTTACTCATAGGCTGTTACTCATAGACTGTTACTCATAGGCAGTCAATCATAGGCTGTTACTCATAGGCTGTCACTTATAGGCTGTCAATCATAGGCTGTCACTGTAACCTGTCACTCAAGGCTGTTATTCACAAACTGTCACCCAAGGCTATCAAGGAATTACACTTACATGCGAACACACACACACACACACACACACACACACACACACACACACACACACACACACACACGTATAGACTTTCACAAGAACATTATTTCCTCAGTAAGACAATGGCAAGTTACTCAATCCAAGCCCTAGATCCACACACACACACACACACACACACACACACACACACACACACACACACACACACACCTCCAGGGAGACACGTACACCACATTTGACACGTACTTTGATTGTCTAGAAAAACACGTACACACAGAAGATACCCATGTACGTATAATGTTGGTATATACACACGCTGGACACGTATTATTGCCGTCCTCTAGAATGACACGTACACACAATACATACATGCATGCACAAGTTGACACACACACACACACACACACACACACACACACACGATAGGTCAATACACACAAGGCTGGAGACACGACCTACCACACCCTCACACACTGCTCCCACACACCTGCTGTCTCCCATAACACCTACATAACACACCTCTTTACATACCTGCTGTATGCACCTACTGATACACACCTTCAACCTCACATCTGTTGACACACACCCTGCCACACACACTGTTTACATATGCGTTATACACCTACTGCATTACACACAACCTTCAACCTCATATAACACACACACCTGCTACACACACACCTACTATTACACACACCTGTATTACCCATGTTACCTCACACACCTGTTGCCTCCACACACCCTGTCATACACACACCTGCTGTTTCATACACACACACGTAAATCAAACATGCCTTTGTGTATTATAAGAACAGTATACACCAACAGTATACACCAACAGTATAACAGTATACCAACAGTACACCAACAGTATACACCAACAGTATACACCAACGAATACACCAACAGTACACACCAACAGTACACACCAACAGTATACACCAACAGTATACACCAACAGTATACACCAACAGTATACACCAACAGTATACCAACAGTATACACCAACAGTATACACCAACAGTATACACCAACAGTATACACCAACAGTATACACCAACAGTATACACCAACAATTACACAACAGTATACACCAACAGTACTACACCAACAGTATACACCAACAGTATACACCAACAGTACACACCAACAGTATACACCAACAATTACACAACAGTATACCAACAGTATACACCAACAGCATACCAACAGTACACCAACAGTATACACCAATATACACCAACAGTACACACCAACAGTATACACCAACAGTATACAAAAGTATACAACAGTATACACCAACAGTATACACCAACAGTATACACCAACAGTATACACCAACAGTATACACAACAGTATACACCAACAGTATACACAACAGTACACACCAACAGTATACACCAACAGTATACACCAACAGTACCAACAGTATACACCAACAGTATACAAATATACACCAACAGTATACACCAACAGTATACCAACAGTACACCAACAGTACATACACAACAGTATACACCAACAGTACACACCAACAGTATACCCAACAGTATACACCAACAGTACACACCAACAGTACCAACAGTATACACCAACAGTACACCAACAGTATACACCAACAGTATACACCAACAGTACCAACAGTATACACCAACAGTATACACCAACAGTATACACCAACAGTACCAACAGTATACACCAACAGTACACACCAACAGTATACACCAACAGTATACACCAACAGTATACACCAACAGTATACACCAACAGTATAAACAGTATACACAAAGTACACAAACAGTATACCAACAGTATACACCAACAGTACACAACAGTATACCAACAGTATACACCAACAGTATACACCAACAGTATACACCAACAGTACACACCAACAGTATACACCAACAGTATACACCAACAGTATACACCTAATCCAAACTTACACAGTAACGGGAATATGCCTCAACGGGACTAAGCGGTTTGCCGTGTGTATGCCGTGTGGTTGCCGTGTGTATGCCCGTGCACCTGAAGTCGTACACACTATGTATCCCCGAACACTTTCACCAGAACAATGGGCTACACTCCCTGAATTTAAACAGTTCTTAAGGTATTATTTTATACAGATATTTACATGTGAATAAAAAAGCATCAGTATAGCGAACTCTTATAACGGCGTCAAATCGCTAATTATAATAAATAATAGGCCATAATACATAACACGTTACATAAACGGCCATGATACATAACACGCTACACAGGTGAGACACAAGGGGAACGCGAGCCAAGGGCCATTTTTTTCCCAAGGGGTGGACCATGGGCCATTTTTTGCCCGCCATCGTGAAATACTAGGAGGCAATATCTGGTAATAGAAGCTGCAGGTACACGTGAGCGGTGGTGATGGTGGTGATAGTGATGGTGGTGATAGTGGTGGTGATGGTGACTCATCCTTAACTGGATCACTACCACACTAGATCATCACTACCACACTAGATCATCACCAACACTCTAAGTCACCATCATCACCATTATAATATCATCATAATCATCACAATATTAGGTTATCACCGCTACAACACTCAAGTCACCACTATACCAGTAAGTCACCATCACTATCATCACTACACCACAGTCACCGATACACCACCTCTATAAAATCACCACAATACCAGTAAGTCACCATCACTATCATCACTACACCACAGTCACCACCACAAGTCACCACCATACCCCCCCCCAAAACAAAACATGGCACAGTCGGGGTAGTAATCCAACATCAACACCCTAACACCTAAGGGACCCTAAGTATAATTATTTACCATTTTAACACGTCCAACCATCCTAGTACTACAGCAGACGGATAACAAAATATTAAATCAAATCACAACTACAAAATCTACATAACTGGAACTTCTATTTTGTTTATGTAGCCTGAAATAATTTGGTGTTCTTGTTGCATTATATTGTCCCCGCCGTCACTCTTAATGGTAAGGAAAAGCGGCGAACCTGTGTTTAATAGTTATGTGGCAGACAGTGGTATACTTAGTGGTGGCAGACAGTGGTATACTTAGTGGTGGCAGACAGTGGTATACTCGGTGGTGGCAGACAGTGGTATACTTAGTGGTGGCAGACAGTGGTATACTTAGTGGTGGCAGACAGTGGTATACTCGGGTGGTGGCAGACAGTGTTATACTCGGGTGGTGACAGACAGTGTTATACTCGGGTGGTGGCAGACAGTGTTATACTCGGGTGGTGACAGAGTGTTATACTCGGGTGGTGACAGACAGTGTTATACTCGGGTGGTGGCAGACAGTGTTATACTCGGGTGGTGGCAGACAGTGTTATCTCAGGTGGTAGCAGACAGTGGTATATATCGGGTGGTGACAGACAGTGGTATACTCGGGTGGTGGCGGGCAGTGTTATACTCGGGTGGCGGGTATTGTATACTCAGGTGGTGGCGGGCAGTGGTATGCTCGGGTGGTGGCAGACAATGGGTATATGGTGGCAGACAGTGTTATACTCAGGTGGTGACAGACAGTGTTTATACTCGGGTGGTAGGCAGACAGTAGCAGAGCGCCCATCGGGTGGTGGCAGACAATGGAAGAATACTCGGGTGGTGGCAGACAGTGTTGTTACATACTCAGTGGTGACAGACAGTGGTGTTGCTCGGGTGGTGGCAGACAGTGTTATACTCAGGTGGTAGCAGACAATGAGCCTCCTCAGGTGAGTGGCGGCCAGTGTTATACTCGGGTGGTGACAGACAATTATACTCGAATTGGTGACAGACAGTGGTATACTCCGGGTGGTGGCAGACAATGGTATACTCTCGGGTGGTAGCAGACAGTGTTATACTCCGGGTGGTGACAGACAGTGTTATACTCGGGTAGTGAACGGTAGTATCTCCAGGTGGTGGCAGACAGTGTATACTCAGGTGGTGACAGACAGTGTTATACTCGGGTAGTGACAGACGGTAGGTATACTCGGGTGGTGGCAGACAGTGTTATACTCAATTGGTGACAGACGGTATACTCAGGTGGTGGCAGGTGTGATACTCAGGTGGTGGCAGACAGTGTTATACTCAGGTGGTGGCAGACAGTGTTATACTCGGGTGGTGGCGAACAGTGTTATACTCAGGTGGTGACGAACCAGTGTTATACTCAGGTGGCGAATAATGGTATACTCGAGTGGTGGCAGACAGTGTTATACTCGGGTGGTGGCAGACAATGGGTATGCTCAGGTGGTGACGGGCGTGTTATACTCCGGGTGGTGGCAGACAATGGTATACTCGGGTGGTGGCAGGCAGTGCCAGGTGTTGACAGACAGTGTTATATACTCGGGTGGTGGCAGACAGTGTTATACTCAGGTGGTGGCAGACAGTATGGTATACTCAGGTGAGTGGCAGACAGTGTTATACTCGGGTGAGCAGCGAACTGAGTGTTATACTCAGGTGGTAGCAGACAATAGGTATACTCGGGTGGTGACAGACGATGTTATACTCAGGTGGTGACAGTGTTATACTCGGGTGGTAAGACAATGGTATACTCAGGTGGTGACGGAGCAGTGTTATACTCGGTGGTGACAGACAGTGTTATACTCGGGCGGTGACGAATGATGTATACTCGGGTGGTGACAGACAGTGTTAGCATACTCGGTGGTAGCGGGCAGTGTTATACTCGGGTGGTGACGAACAGTGTTATACTCGGGTGGTGACGAACGATGTTATACTCGGGTGGTGACGAACAGTGTTATACTCTGGTGAAGTGGCAGACAATGGTATATGGTGGTAGCGAACAGTATTTATACTCAGGTGGTGGCAGACAATGGCATACTCGGGTGGTGGCAGACGATGTGTTATACTCAGGTAGCAGACAGTGTTATACTCAGGTGGTGACGAGTGTTATACTCGAGTGGTGACAGACGGTATTCGAATGGTGGCAGACAATGGGTATACTCGGGTGGTGACAGACAGTGTTATACTCAAGGTGGTGGCAACAATGGTATACTCGGGTGGTGACAATGTTATACTCGGGTAAGAGTGGCAGACAATGGTATGCTCGGGTGACAGACAGTGTTATACTCGGGTGGTGGCAGACAATGGTATTCATACTCAGGTGGTGACAGACGGTATATACTCGGGTGGTGACGAACGGTGTTATACTCGGGCAGTGGCAGACAATGGTATACTCGGGTGGTGACAGACAGTGTTATACTCGGGTGGTGACAGAGTGTGGTATACTCCGGGTGGTGGCAGACAATAGGTATACTCGGGTGGTGACAGACAGTGGTATACTCGGGTGATAAGCGACCTAGAGGATGAAAGATCAGAGCCACAGTACTGAAGTTTTTCTATAACCATTGGCAAGTCTTCTTTAACCCAACCAATAACTGATGAACTTCCTAACAACAACAACAACATAACAACA